AAGACTTTTTTTCCTTAGAAAACTTATCTGAAAAAATCTGATCAACTCCCAAAAGTTTCATAGCACTCGAATGAACGGTGTCGAACCGCATCAGCCTTTTTTTATGTCCTGCAAAGATAGAATAATCGCACCTTCCCGAGCGCCGCCCTTGCGAAATTGAAAGCGATTTTTGTGTGTGTGCAGAAACCCTCCCTATAATGTCCTAATCAACTCACCTAAGTTTCCCGTCGATCGGTTAAACGGTGTCGAACCGCAATCGGTTTTTATTTTATAAACCGTATATAGAGATAAATCTAATCGCGCCATGTCGGTAATGGTAATAAAATATAAATATTCATGTTAAAAAAGAATCGACTAACAACTATAGATTTATGTTTCTAATATGTGTATACCGATAGCGCATTTTTCCAGAGACCTACAAGAGCTATGTCAGTGTGACCAGCTATCAGTGGATCACAGTTGTGCTCTACGTCACAGACAACCAACACAAAAGGATTGCGTCAACTCTCGTTTATCCAGCCCGAATGTTTGTATTGTTGTCTGAGGCTTACTTTGTTCTACCATTTCACACAAACGGCACTGGTAGGTTTCAGGGTAATTAATGTATACCCTATTTAATTAAATTAAAATAGGCCAGACTGCTAACCACACCAGTAATTAAGACAAGTTAGTTTTAAGATCACTTCCTTTGGTTATAGCCGTTAAACCATAAAACGGTTATTAGCTTACAAATATTTTTCAATCAGTACATTTAAATTACAATCCATACTTTTAGGATAACAAATATTTATATTTTAAATGTTATTTAGTCAGAAAATTTTAAAAATCAACTCTTCATCAGAAATATTGAATCTAGAGTTCTTCCTTACTACCCTCTCTACGTGTTATATACAAAAAAATGAAAATATACTTCTACAGAGAATAACATTGATGTGGTTGCCATGACGAATGGCAGTACAGATGTTGCCGTGTATTTCATTACAAAAGACTTTAGTGCTAGTCTCAACAATGATTTGTACATTGCAAGGTTAGTTATATTACAATTAGATTACTCCAGATTATAATCTAATAATAATACTCATTTCTTTCGCATAATACAAACATTAAAAAATAATTAATTTTTGGGAAGATTTATTTGTATGCGATAGTAAAATATATTATCATACAGATTTAATTGTATGGTACCGTTCTGATTTAATTTAAACCACTTTTAAAATGTTTCTATTCCCAGCCTAAGTCCATACTCCATGTTGGTGTCACGTACTACACTAGAAACTCAATTTGAAACGTTTCATTTGAATCTAGTCACAGACCTACAGCGGGGATTTTTAACTGCTAGCAGACCTGTGGCTGTTTTCTTAAGTAGGGTATGTGAAAAATTGTCTTTTAAAAGTTTACAATATAGTATATTTATATAAACATTTTATGAATTCATATTTTTATAGAGCAGCCCCACACTAAACAGTGCAGCTAGCAATGATTTTGTATGGTTATGTTTGTTTGAAACAATGTTATTAAAACTCTATAATCATTAAAAATCTATAATCGTTTGAGCGATGACAGCTTAAAAATGAATTTCTAAGTTAAATGATGTGTAAGTGTTTAAGTAAAACAACAGTTACAGTGATTCTCTAGCGTTAGTTTAAAAGATTCTTTTTTCAGGAAAAGTATGTTTGATTGAGTACAGTAATTTCAATACCAAATACATCTACATATTATCAGTCTCGACAAGACACACCTGAGTCAGATCCTTCTATTGATGAGATGTTACCTGTAGAGTACATAGGTACAGAGTACATCACCTTCCCATCGTTACCGTTGGCAGAAGTTAATGACACGTTTCTGTTGGTGGCAGCATATGCGGACACAAATGTGAGTCTTTTTTGACGGTCAAATAGTAAAGTTAAAAAGTTCATGGTATTGATGACTTTTCTTGACCATGAAATTGTTTTCAAAATAAGAAGAGCTAAGATAAATGTGTCGATACAACTTATGAAAACAAAGGTTAAAAATGTATGTAAAAACATATATTTAAACAAAATATAAATTTATATTTGATTTCAATTATTTATTTTTGTACAAAGTTATTTATACAATTCAAAAAATTAGATAAAGAGGGATATACTTTTAAATTGAATTTCTTCTAGATCCAAGTTCCATCTTTGGATCTAAATATTTCCTTGTCGTCTGTTGGAGCCAGCAGAGTGGTGGAGCTGTCAGGAGGAAAGTTTCACTTTATACAAGGAGATGTTGGATTCTATTTGTACAAGTGGCCTGCTACGGAGAGGGGTAAATGCAAGTTCTTAAATATAAAAGAACATATTGCCTCATAAAAAACTTAAAAGCGTTTTTTTTTCAGAAGTGTTAAAAACTTTTCATAGTTTACCTTTAAAGCGTCCGATGTTTTGAAATGTAATTTTAACATTGGGAAATGTGTGTTCATTCAAGCATATGGTGAAAGCGTGTGTGAGACGTCTTTGTTGCCCAAGTCCTGGTGGAGAAATCAATACGACTTTACCATCAGTTCTGAGCTGGCCAGTTGGATGGTCTATGTTGTTGTCGTTGTGGATAAATATTACATGACCAACATTTCCTTACTGACCACAGCAAATCTCACGTGCAGCGATGTGACAGGTATTTGATTATTTGTTTATAATATAAGAAAATATGGTAGATAGAATATTGACATAATCTAATAAGGTTTTATAATCCACAACCATTATATCTATACACGTTAGCGGTGTAATATTTGTTTCTGTTATGAAACTCATCTTAATACGTCAACAATACGAAAGTCGTCATATACAACGAATATATAATGATATTCAAATATATTTCAGCATTTTCTTTTTTCTTGAATCAAAGATATTAGCATTAATCCCTATTTTGTACTTTAAAGATTCGTATAATATTTTTACATTTCATACAAAACCTTTTAAGGTACCAATTTCTCAGGATGCCTCTACAATATGACGTCTCAAAGCGGTACCTTTAATGTCATCATCGACAACCCCCAAGCCACGTTTGGAGCCTACATGTACGGAAAAAATAAAAGATCTACATTTTGTCACCCATTGGGTGTAGCTGATGAACTTAAACCTACCAGGGTAAGATAATAGAGTTACAACATTTAAAAAGTTAATTTACCAATACATTTTATTGGACAATAGTTTTATCGACTATATTTGTACTCATTTTTCTTTAAAAAAATTAGATTTGATCTTAAAACTTTAAATTAGTTTGATACTATTCTTTAATGATTTTCCACTAATTTTAATTAGAAAGTAGAAACCTAGCTATAAGCCATACAAGATAAGTCTTTCAAATCTCAATTCGAATCCTAGTAATATTTGTGTTGACATTTTCAAGATGGAGTAAGAGAACTTGCATTTTATTTATGAGCTTAAAAATGAATTACTGTAAAAGGCATTTACTTATTTTTAAAGCAATAAGCCTACTGACTTTATAAACATTTCTGTCAATAATTTAATTAGCTTAGCTTTTCATTTATTTTGTTATACGTTTAAACTTTTAACGACTTTATTAATTATTTTTTTTATAAAAATACGTTAGATATTACCTGCCTTTTGTCACTCGTAAAAAAATAAAAGTACTATCTTCTACTTACCTGAAAATAATAATATAATAATATTTTTTACAACATACTTTCATTTTGTCTTTAATAACAGTACACAGATGAGGACAATTTTAAGAGGCAACTAAAGCCACTGAGACAACCGGAGTTTAATTGTAGCAATATCGTAGTAGAAAGTAGTAAACCGGCATCTAGCAGGACAACATTAAGTAACATGACTACACAATCGTACACTGCAATACAAGGCTTTCAACAAACAACTGCCTTACCTACACAAGCTAACAATGGAACTGATGTCACGAATTATACTCGAGACTTGGGAGCAAGGGATACAACCACTGTAAGACAGGCCGACACGACAGAGGAAGATTTAAGCACACATTCCTTTAGTACAGATGAGACAACACATACACAGACCATCACTACAGATGAGACAACACATACACAGACCATCACTACAGATGAGACAACACATACACAGACCATCACTACAGAGGCCACTACCATACACGTACAGCCAACCACGACCATGGAACCAGCTAAACAAGCTGAGAAACTTGTCAATGAAATTAAGAAAACCTTGCAAGTCAACAGTCGCAACACTTCCGCCTTCCTGAGAACCAAGACGTCAACAGAAGATCCGAGACCATCAGCTACAGCTGTGGGTTATGTGGGGATTGCTATGTTGTCTACGGTCTTTGGGACTATCGTGCTGTTTGACTTCATTTCCTTTATTACACATGCAATAACTATGTTTCGGTTTATTAAAACATACTTGAGCAAACAGAAATAAATCCAATGTAACACCGAAATGAAAACATGTCTTTAACTTACTTAAAACATCTTTCTTAAGTGGTTTAAACATTCCTAAATGCTTTAGTTGTTTCAATTTTATATTTATAAATTCTAAATTAGAAGGAATGATTTTTTTTCTTTATTAATATCAAGAAATAAAGAATATTTTAGTTCAACTTAAGGTTCTGTAATCACAAAACCACTTCATAGCTTGAGGTTCTAGCAAGTGAAGTTTATCAACAAAAGTTTACACGTCTTATTTCAGTTTAGTGTATACATAATTACTGCTGGCCTTTATTGAAAATTGAAATACAAATAGAATTTGGGTTTTAATAATACAAAGAACATTTAAATGGGAACTTTTAAATTTATGCAACAGTATTCTAATCGACAGATGTTTAGATTACACTTGAAAGTATCCTTAATGATAATTTTATTTGGATCAAAATAGGTTTTTTTAATAGTAACATTACTTACTAATACTCTTAGTGAACTCTGAAGTATTTGATTGCATACGTTAAAAACAACAAAAACTACTAATTCTTAACTTACTAGGTGATCAGCTCCTCTATAGACCAAAACGTTACTTAGCTCTCAGTTAAACTCCATTTTAAAAAGAACTATTGCTATCGGGAACTCTGTGGCGTGAAGCCTCTTTGACTATTGGACTTTGCGATGTGGTATTTCTTTTGGTAACACATTTAGGCTGAAAAGTCGAGAGAAATGTTGATTTGAACTTTGAACTCATGCTGTAGAAAACAAAAAGGTGCACGGACGAGTTGATGTAGTCGAAGACGAAGTACGTGTAGGTGGCGACCCAGAAGATGTTGTTGTAGAACTTCATGACGTAGAACTCCGGCACACACAGCATGGCCATGTAGTAGGTGACCCGTGGTGCCAGGTTGATGATGTACACGCCGATGACCACTAGCAGCATTTTGATCGCCTTCCAGTCCTTAGTGGTCATCTCGTCTTGTTTGCTGGTCTCGTGTCTTCTCGTTTTAGACGCGACATCTTTTCTAAAATGGGAAGATTTTTTTAGATGAAACGCGATGATGCTGGTACTGACTACCATTGTGGTGAGACTTAATAAAGGGTAGATGGTACCCATGAAACGGTTGGCTTCAAAAAACCGCTGGCCGTGGATTTGACTAAATTCGGTATACTGGTAGATTGCGATTGTGGCTTGCATTTCTTTACTGTAGATCCATTTCGATTCGAACATGAAAAATAATAGAAAAAATGACCCGTAGATAAGTACTGATAGAAGTATACAAAACGTGAAAGTTGTTTTTGGTGTGATGAGGGTTTTAACTTTAAACGGAAAACTGACGCAGAGACATCGTTCTATAGCTACGTAAGCACCGATGACGTAAGATACGTTCCCGGAAATGATGTTGACGTATTGGAGATTCGTGATCGTCAGGCTCTGCCAAGTTTTGCCTAGGGCAGGGGAGGCTAACGACACCGGGCCGTAGAGTCTGTGGACCGCTCCACACAAGACTCGAATCAGGTCCCAGAATGCAATGGTTGTCAATGAGATGTTGACGCTGTCCTTGAACCCCAGCTTGGCGAAGACAACGATGTTAATGATGTTGGTGATGATGCCGAGAGAGCATAGTAGAAGGTTGGTCCAAATATCGACAACAAAAGTAAAAAGACTTAAAGTGTAGTCAGATACCAGGATATCTCTAGCTGGTAAAGAAGTGGTTGCTGCAATGCTGGCATTGATTTTAGTGGTAGAGTTTATCTGATCGAAAAACGAAATGTTTGTATATTCCATTTTTAAAACCATCTGCTCTGTCGTCGTGGGATATAGTTTTAGTTTTAAATAACAATTTGAAAACCTAACATTGTTGCTAAACCCGCTCGGTGGCACAGTTTAAAAACATTGTTACTATTATAAGCGGTGTCTAATATGTTATTGTCCATTGTGTAAAGTTTAGATTGACAAAGTAACCGTAGAAGGTACATTTTTTAAAGGTTTTATTGCACATTTTTCCAAAGAAATTTAAATTTTAGCTCGATGAATTAAAATGTACACTATTATGTTGATGTTGAATTCATTTTAATAAAACGATAAACATGTTTCGAAATAATTTTAACAAAATACTGAATACACATTTAATACATTTGTGTATTGTCACATATCTTCCTATAGAAAACGTAACACTCTTTATTTATAAAGCTTTGCCATGCAAATAAAAAAAGATGTTCACTTGACAAGGTTTTGTTTATATATCGCACAGCTAACGAATTACATTTGAATGTGTATAACCAAAATTTAGTTAATTTTTATAAAGAAATGTATTATATTTCAAACGAACTTTCCATCGTATTTATCATTTTTTACAAAGAAAAATGTAAGCTAATACTATGTCGACTAAAGTGAAATGTTTTGTCAGTCCCTGTAACACTAAAACATAATTGAGAAAACATAAATTGTTGATAAACGTAAAGTAATATTGAAATCAAACAAAGATGCAACCAATTTGTAGGAATAGAGAAACGATTTTTAAATTTTAAAAATAATTTTTAAGCACAAAAGTAATCGGTAAGATAAATATAGTTGGGTTTGTATTGAATTTAAAATAATAATCTAGTTCAATTTAATTATACCCCTGGGATAATAGAGCAACGGTTGATGTAAATAATAGTTTTGGCCACTTAAGATAAACTTAATAATTAGCTGATTCGGGGCAAGTAGACAATTCTCTTTTGATTGGGTAAAATTGCCGTGATCCTAACAATGACGACTTATTTAATTATCTATTTATGTTTGGATTTTAGCTTGAGGCTACGGCATTAAGTTATTACCAGTTTCAAATTAATTTGTAACAGTAAGATTGATTTAAAATGACTAGGGCATTGCCTGCGAAGTTCTTGTATGATAAAAAGGATAATGTTACATAGCAAGTCTTTAAAATTTATGATGGGTAATTAGCCGGGGAATCATCAGTGATGTTGACTTCGTATCTCGCGATGTTTAGTCGTCAAACTAATGAGAAGCTTGTCATCAGTGCTTGATAAAATCAATTTTAATAATTACAATTTGTTTTAATTTCATCCGTTTCGTAACTTAAATACGAATTTTTAAATGCATAATAATTTTAGAGATATATGTTTCTATATAAGTTGCACTTTTCAATGTAGATATTTATTGTGTTATGATGTTGATAAGTTAGAATATGTTAAATAGACAAATAGACTCTGAAATTGAGACCAAATTATCTTGTACTAATAATTTTATAACGGAATAGTTTACCCGGTTGAGACAGTAGCTATAGAGAGATTGAAAATATGTGCTGAGTTCGTTTTTAACAGTAGTCGATCAACAACGATTCTCTTGAGTTTTTTTTTTTGCATAAGTCGGAAATAATACTGTGTTGGTTAAAAAAAAACAACTAAATGTTTATACATTTAGCTATTGTATAATAGGTAAGGCAATTAATCTATTTTTAGATTTAAAAAACCATGCGTCAGATGAAATAAGCGGTGCATCGACCTATGTAGCTTCGGCACCTCTGTTTTTATATTGCCATTTGAAGTTTCCTGTTCTGATTTTTAGTTGATGCTGTGTTTAGAAAGGCTCAATTTGTGTGACAAAACTGATAGCCTTGATTGTTTATACGTAGATGAATTTTTTTCTCTTTAACGTTTAAATTACAAAATATCTCAAATAAATAAGGTTAATTGTTTAAAAATATAATAACAAGTGAATCCTTTTTTTTTTTTTGAATATGAAAGGCTTTATTTAACATTAATTAAGTTAATTTATTACAATGGAAACAAAATAATCAAATACTATAATTACTTGTGTTTTTTTGGATCAGTATCTACAACTGTGAGCAGTTAACATACAAATAGGATCACGCTATCATTTCATATGCCGAGGTCACAGAAACAAGTAAATTCTACTTCACTTGCCCAGTAGACAGTCAGGTTTGAAAGGGAGTGTTACTTATTTACAGGATCATCCATAGCTGTGAGCATTTAACATACAACACAGGATCATCTAAAACTTGTGATGAGTTAACATACAACACAGGGCTGTGAGCAGTTAACATACAAGACAGGGATGTGAGCAGTTAACATACAACACAGGATTATCTACAGCTGTGAGCAGTTAACATACAACACAAGGGATGTGAGCAGTTAACATACAACACATAATCATCTACAGCCGTGAGCAGTTAACATACAAGACAGGGATGTGAGCAGTTAACATACAAGACATGGCTGTGAGCAGTTAACATACAACACAGGATCATCTACAGCTGTGAGCTGTTAGTATACAACACATATCATCTATAGCTGTGAGCTGTTAACATACAACACAGGGCTGTGAGCAGTTAACATACAAGACAGGGATGTGAGCAGTTAACATACAAGACAGGGCTGTGAGCAGTTAACATACAACACAGGATCATCTACAGCTGTGAGCTGTTAGTATACAACACATATCATCTATAGCTGTGAGCTGTTAACATACAACACAGGATCATCTGGTTCTTGACGTAGCTCTTGTAAAATCTGAGACCGGCTTTTAACAGCATTAATACATTCAGCTGCTGTAAAGGAAATATTTTCTCAGCATTTATAGTGGCAGCTTCTTACGCAAATAATTTGAAATCATTTAAAAAAAAAATCGACCTGAATTAATTAAATTTAAATGTATCATACATTTTATGCTTTGTCAGTTACTGTTACAGGTATTTGTGATTTTTTCCCACGTTTTCTTTAACTTGCTTTCTCTGTTTGTTTGTCTTTCCAATCAAATCTTGCGATCGAAATTTCTGGCACTTCCCAGTTAGCTAGCGCGCTGAAATTTTCAGGGAAGCTTTCTTTTGGATGACCATAGAATATTCAATTGTTATTATTACTAAATTGATCAATGGAAACATTTTATTGAGCATTTTAGACCGCTATATAATCTATATATATAATTCTCCTCTGCGAGCCATTAGAAAAAAAACGAGCGACGCGTACCTCGCGCGCAGTGAAGCGAACGATCCCACGTCGCCACAGGCTTAGGGGCAGATAATTTAGTTTGAACCGAGTTTAAACTTACAGGAGGTAGGCCAGAATGGGGGAGACGATATGGTCGAGTGGTTGGGCACACGATTGCTATCCCACTCGACACGGGTTCAAATATATGTGTTCTAGTCAGTAACGTATTCACACAACGATTTTTTTTCGCGTTGTCTTTTTACGAGTTGTCTTTTTACGAGTTGTCTTCGTTTACCCCAAAAAAAGTGAAAAGATAAAATCGATAGCAAGATTTTAATGCAAACAAACAGACAAAGACTAAAAAGTAGAAAATAATAATCATTAAAAAAGTTTAAAAAAACCCACGTTTTCTGATTGAACTAAAAAGTAGAAAATAAATGCTATACATCACAATAATGCAAGCGATCACTCTACTATAAGCGATCAAAAACGTGGGGCGCCGTGATTTTCTTACAGTTTCTAATACTGTTGACTCTCTACAAGCTCCCTAATAAAAGTCAATAGTATTATCTAATCAATAGTAATATAACTTTTACTTCGGCGCCCCACGTTTTTGATCGCTTATAGTAGAGTGATCGCTTGCATTATTGTTATGTATAGCATTTATTTTCTACTTTTTAGTTCAATCAGAAAACGTGGGTTTTTTAAAACTTTTTTAATGATTATTATTTCTAGTAGCTTTTAATGTCAATGTTTTCAATGCTTAATAGTTTCTTTTTCTCAAGTGATAGCACAGCTGACTAGATGCAGGAATGCCATTTTAAATTTAACAAAATAAGATAATATAGGCATGATCATGTAGAGTTTACAATTTGTATTAGTTACCTTATAAAACCTACGTACCTAACCATATACTAAAAATATATTATTTAAGTACTAAAAAAATCTATATCAAAAGAAGTTTTTAAATTATGAATTAAGGTTACTTAATTAAGCTATTATAAATTGTAAATGTTAAAGAGACAAGTCAGAACGACCATGTCCACCCAGCCCTAATGGGTACCTAGCTTACGTTAGGGAAATCAAAGGTGGCTGGGCACAGTGCTGACCTCACCATCCCTTCATATGCCCATTTCTCTAAAACAGATGAACTCTACTTCATCTACATTAACGGGATAAGATGATTAAGAAGATTAATGACATGTGTATACGTCTCACCTTTTCTCCTTTTAAATACTCTGCTGGTGACACTAAGATATCGCCTGGTGGGTACCGACGTTGACGATACATGCAAGAAATAAACGCAAACATCGGAATAACTACATATTTACTAAAGTAATTATATATTTACACATAAAGAAAAAGTAATGTTTAAATGAGGTTTAAGGGTGTGGTCGAGTGGTAGATTTTTCGACTGTTAACCCGAAGGACTCGAGTTCGGATCTCGAAAATGCGCCTAATTCATGTCAGTTAAAGTAAATGCGACAGGGAATAATGTTTAGCTCACTATTCCTTCGTATAGTGAGGTCAAGAAACTTCGAATGCCCTTTGGATCATTGGGCCTGAAGAGGAACAAAACTTATTTACATAAGCTTCAGGCAAAGAAAGTAATAATCATGTATCTATAAGTACAGGTAAAGGAATGATACATTTACATAACTAGAACGTTATTTAATGTAGAACGATGTGATGCGTATTTTATGAAGTTAAAAATAATTTGCTTTATATATAGGGTATATGAATATTTCATAAAGCAGACGCATATTAAAGTAAAATGTCGAAAACAATCTTGAACTTTAAAATAACGAAAATGGCTTTATGTAGTTCATTGTAAAACTGTACGCCTCTTTATTATGTAATATTTGTAAAAATTAATTCCTGTAAACGTACTATTTTGGAAAAAAAATTGATTATTTAAGAAAAAAACACTCATACTTACCTTAGGCTGTATGTTCTGTTTCTAAATTGAACTGTAAATTATTTTGTTTTTGTTGAGAAAATAATATTGAAAATATTAAATTAGGAATATGTAGAGTTGTGAGATATAAAGTAGAACAACATTTCATAGCACATAGTAGAACAAAACCAACACGAACAATGACTAAGTGTTACTAATGTTTAAGTCATCTACAACTTTAGTGTGTGGTGAGTAGATAAACCCTGACTGTGAGCGGAGTGGAGGCCCACAACAGCAAGGTGAATGGTGACTAGACACGTAGATGCTAAACAATAACAAGGTGCATGGTGACTCGACACGTAGATAGTAAAGGTGAGACATAGATTAAGGTGAGATTTACATCGCGTTATATCTCTGTATGTGACACATTTTGTCACGTATTTGACAAATGTGCAGGAAATTAATCGTCACATTTATCATTAAAGTGATAGAGGGTCAAATAAATTGTTACCCGCGTGAACATCAAAACCCTACGACATTCATCGTACCTGAGAATGTGCCATTAAAGTGACATATTGTCAGATATATTTTTAAAAATATGGCAGATAGCAAAATATCAAACTTGGGACAAGAGGTTTTTTTTTCTAAACTCAGTTTGAAGCCATAAATACATAAATTATAATAACTAAAATAGACCAGAATCCTTTTTAATCTGTAAATTCATTTTCTGATGCCAGAAACAAAGTCATATAAAAAGCCTATCTACATAGTGTGATTTTAATTATTTGTAAACGTGCATTCATTTTCTAATGCCAGAAAGATAGTAATATAAGAAGCATATTTGCTTATTGTGATTTTAATTATGTTGATTTTAATTATTTGTAAGCGTGCATTCATTTTCTAATTCTAGAACGGTGTAATATATGTGACAGTATATAACACTCTACCAAATTTGCATTATGTGTTTTTCACACAGCACATTTTTTTTTATTGCGCGACAACCGATTTTGAAATTGTGTTGCAAACTAATTATTTTTTAGTTGTCGTTCTTAGAGAAATGGATTACCGTCCTTCCTCCAACAGTTGAGACAGATTACTACAAGGGAACTAACTATAATAAGGCCGCTGAAGATCATTGTCAGACCATAGACCATCACTTGCGGTACTTCGCCTGTGTAAACAAAAAGTATTTTCATATAGGTTGGTAATGGTTTGATAAAGAGCTAAAGTTTGCTTTAAAAAAGCTTGACAAAAAAATATAAATCAAGTTTACAACAGTTAAGTTTTAGTTTTGACTTCTTTAATAAGACGATAGTATTATAAGGCTAGATAAATACTAATTCTCATTGTAGATATAGCAATTGTACTCAAATGTGTTCAAGTGAAAAAAAACAAAAAAATATACACGTTTTTAAAATTGTATAAATAGCCATACTTTGATTAAAATACCCGCATATATATATATATATATATATATATATATATATATATATATATATATATATATATATATATATATATATATATATATATATATATATATATATATATATATATATATATATATATATATAAATCATACATGAGCAGAGTTAATCAAAACAAACAAATTATTACATTGCATTATAGCAAGAAAAAGTAAACATAAACCATAACTCTGACCATGATTTATGCAAAAAGTTTACACACGTGTGGAGCTTTTTGCAAAGTTTTCAATTTTTTTTTTTTGACAACTATTCGAGTTTTCAGAGAAAGCTGTATAGAATTCTACACTAGATTATAATACCTTGTGTTTTATGCACGCATACACATACGCTAATCTCTGAGCAGTTTTGGGTAGGTCGAGGTTTTCTTTCATTACAAAACTTCACGTTCAGATCTAATGTAGTGTGATCACATATCTTTGTCAGGCTTGAGGTCATCACTGGGGATAGAAGTATTATGAGTTCGGGCCCTATGTTATGCTGTTCTGTATATTTATTATGGTATTTAACAAAGTATTTATATGTAAATGCTAATGTATATGCTAATATAAGTAAAAGTTGGGAAAATATTCGCACCACCCCATCAAACTTTCGATTTGCACCCCCCCTCAAGTTTTTCTCTATATATTTTGCTATTTTTTGCTTTGGTGTCACCCCCCTAAATGGTGTCACCCGGTGAGGTCCGCACCCCCCCCCCCCGCCCCTCCCCCCCCCCCTTCGCTACGCCTCTGGGTTACTTTACGTTTAAGCAAAATTGATGTTGAGCAAAAACATGATTGCGATTTATTAAATTAATTTGCCTGTAAAATTATGGTGGTTTTGTAGATAGGCCTGTGAGTTCTGTTGTGTTATGTTTTTATTTTGAATATCATAATTGTTTTGCCTAATGTTAGTTTCTCACTGGACTAGACAACAACTCTGACAGAAAAAAAAGTACTTACGTGTATCGCAAGTTTTGTTTATTTTCTTCACCTCTAGCGCCGAGATGACAAGACTGGTGAGGGAACAATGGCCTTTGGCGAGATGACTAATTGGAAAGCATTCATTTATAGAGACCTGCTTTATATCCACTAAACACGAGTCAGAAAGCGGAAAGCTATGGGAATAGTTGTGAATCTGGCATTCCTGTACAAGTGTACCTGGATAAATGAGCAGCAAAATGTATAATTAAACTTTAGGTCTTTTTCTCGTATTGTTTATATGTTGCTGATACAGAAAAGTAAAAAAGTTCCCCTATCAAAACTGACGATCTATGGGGCAAGTAAAGAGTTCCCATGTTACTATGACCTCGGCATATAACGCGATAGTGTGGTCAGCACTATGCCCAGCCGCCTTTACTTTCCCTAACCTGAGTTAGGTACCCATAAAAGCTGGGTAGACTCAGGGAATTGAACCCTGATTTGAACTCGAGATTTACGGGTTAGCAGTCTAGTTCTCTACCGTTAGTCAGTTCGTTCTTTATTATTTATGAAGGCTTATTGAATATTTCGCTTTCGATGAAGAAATATTCCTAGTTGGCTAAAGTTGCTTACACATCTAAAATACATTTTTAATTATTAAAATATTGTTTCATACACCAACTCATGAAAGAAGACAGTTGATCGTGGAATAAATGCGTATAGTATTTTTGTTGTATATACAAAAAGATCAAATAAAAAAATAATATGGCACAGTTGGCACATAAATAAAATGGTGAAATAACACATAAATATCACTAAGATTAGACTATGTCTTTTTAAAATGTGAATAATTCAACATTATTTAATTCAAAACACAGAGTAAATACATATAAATTACTTAAATTAATATGAACGTAAAAACGTTTTACAATGTATATAACATACCTAAACAGCTATCTAGCCATAGGCTGGATATAAAAAACGATATAACTTTTCGCTTGTAGAAATCCGATAGATTCATTATTGAAATCGTTGTAACGAACTCATACCACTGTCTTTTACATATTGATTACAGTAAATTCGACACAGCTAAAAGTCACTTACCAGCAAAATCTTATCTAGCTGTACAATACATTTCCTGGTCGCCTCGAGTGGTTTTTCTTTGTTGTCAAATGTTGACTATGTAGGTTTTTAAAAACCTAGGAATAGCTCACTTGTTCAACTTGACGATTGAAAGTTCAAGTTGTTGTCAGTTTACTTTCAGTTTCTATTGCCCGACAGTACTCTAGCTAATTGCAACGGCTCGAAAAATGCATTGTTTTCATTCATTTTGATAAGTTGTAACCTCTTATTTTGTTTGAGCTTTGGACATGTTAGTTACATTTATGATAAGGGCAAGGGTTAAAAACAATAAAATTACGATTATCGCTACGGGTTACTGTTAGGTAAGTTATTGTGTATATAGAGGAATTGACCGGGATGGTCTAGTGGTAGAGAGCTAGAGTGCTACCCAGATAGTCTCGAGTTCGAATCCGGGTTCATGTCAGTAGAATTTCCCTTATTCCACCCAGCTCAGATGTAAACCTAACTTACATTAGGGCAAAACACTATCCGTTCCTATGCCGAAGTCTCTGAAAAAGATGAACTCTACTTCATCTGCACAATGTCTCTTAGGCTCGAATGGGAAAGATAGGTACAGTTTACACATTATAGGTTTGATTTAGTCAGTGATATACATTTTACTGTGATGTCTGTATGAAAACTTATTGTAATAAATAACAACGCATCTACTTTACGCGGCTGGTCACTCCTTAACATTATCCCCTTGCAGCTGCTTATAGTTTTGATATCTATGGATCTATATCGTTTTCGTCTGCAAATACACGTGAATTGGATTGGGCTATTTTTAGGATTTGTCGGTCTATATTGACTGAATGTTTGTTAGTCTATATTGACTGCCCTGTTTGTTAGTCTATATTGACTGTCCTATTTGTTTGTCTGGTCTATATTGACTGCCCCGTTTGTCAGTCTATATTGACTGCCCTGTTTGTTAGACTATATTGACTGTCCTATTTGTTAGTCTATATTAACTGCCCTATTTGTTAGTCTATATTAACTGCCCTATTTGTTAGTCTATATTGACTGCCCTATTTGTTTGTCTGGTCTATATTGACTGCCCTGTTTGTTAGTCTATATTGACTGTCCTATTTGTTAGTCTATATTAACTGCCCTATTTGTTAGTCTATATTGACTGCCCTATTTGTTTGTCTGGTCTATATTGACTGCCCTATTTGTTAGTCTATATTGACTGCCCTGTTTGTTAGTCTACATTGACTGCCCTGTTTGTTAGTCTATATTGACTGCCTTATTTGTTAGTCTATATTGACTGCCCTGTTTGTTAGTCTATATTAACTGCCTTATTTTTTAGTCTATATTGACTGTCCTATTTGTTAGTCTATATTGACTGCCCTATTTGTTAGTCTATATTGACTGCCTTATTTGTTAGTCTATATTGACTGCCCTGTTTGTTAGTCTATATTAACTGCCTTATTTTTTAGTCTATATTGACTGTCCTATTTTGTTGGTCTATATTGACTGCACTATTTGTTAGTCTATATTGACTGCCTTATTTGTTAGTCTATATTGACTGCCTTCTTTGTTAGTCTATATTAACTTCTCTATTTGTTAGTCTATATTGACTGCCTTATTTGTTAGTCTATATTCTATATTGACTGTCCTATTTGTTAGTCTATATTGACTGTCCTATTTGTTAGTCTATATTGACTGCTCTATTTGTTCGTCTATATTGACTGCCCTATTTGTTTGTCTGGTCTATATTGACTGCCCTATTTGTTAGTCTATATTGACTGCCTTATTTGTTAGTCTATATTGACTGCCTTATTTGTTAGTCTATATTAACTGCTCTATTTGTTAGTCTATATTGACTGTCATATTTTGTTGGTCTATATTGACTACACTATTTGTTAGTCTATATTGACTGCCTTATTTGTTAGTCTATATTGACTGCACTATGTTTTAGTCTATATTGACTGCCTTATTTGTTAGTCTATATTAACTGCTCTATTTGTTAGTCTATATTGACTGCCCCATTTGTTAGTCTATATTGACTGCTCTATTTGTTGGTCTACATTGACTGCTCTATTTGTAAGTCTATATTGACTGGACTATTTGTTAGTCTATATTAACTGCTCTATTTGTTAGTCTATATTGACTGCCTTATTTGTTAGTCTATATTGACTGTCCTATTTGTTAGTCTATATTGACTGCCCTATTTGTTTGTCTGGTCTATATTGACTGCCCTATTTGTTAGTCTATATTGACTGCCCTATTTGTTAGTCTATATTAACTGCCTTATTTGTTAGTCTATATTAACTACCTTATTTGTTAGTCTATATTAACTGCTCTATTTGTTAGTCTATATTGACTGCCTTATTTGTCAGTCTATATTGACTGCCCTGTTTGTTAGTCTATATTGACTGTCCTATTTGTTAGTCTATATTGACTGCCTTATTTGTGAGTCTATATTAACTGCCTTATTTGTTAGTCTATATTAACTGCTCTATTTGTTAGTCTATATTGACTGCCTTATTTGTTAGTCTATATTGACTGCCTTATTTGTTAGTCTATATTAACTGCTCTATTTGTTAGTCTATATTGACTGTCCTATTTGTTAGTCTATATTGACTGCCCTATTTGTTAGTCTATATTGACCTCCCTATTTGTTTGTCTGGTCTATATTGACTGCCCTATTTGTTAGTCTATATTGACTGCCTTATTTGTTAGTCTATATTGACTGTCCTATGTTGTCGGTCTATATTGACTGTCCTATTTGTTAGTCTATATTAACTGCCTTATTTGTTAGTCTATATTAACTGCTCTATTTGTTAGTCTATATTGACTGTCCTATTTGTTAGTCTATATTGACTGCCCTATTTGTTAGTCTATATAGACTGTCCTATTTGTTAGTCTATATTAACTGCTCTTTTTGTTAGTCTATATTGACTGTCCTATTTGTTAGTCTATATTAACTGCTCTATTTTCTAGACTATATTGACTGTCCTATTTGTTAGTCTATATTGACTGCCTTATTTGTTAGTCTATATTGACTGCCCTGTTTGTTAGTCTATATTAACTGCCTTATTTTTTAGTCTATATTGACTGTCCTATTTTGTTGGTCTATATTGACTGTCCTATTTTGTTGGTCTATATTGACTGTCTTATTTTGTTGGTCTATATTGACTGTCTTATTTTGTTGGTCTATATTAACTGTCCTATTTGTCCAGGACACAATTGGGAACAGAAAATAATCAATCTATTTGGGATCTGCGTTTGAATGTCCTTGCTATGGATGAATTTCAACCTTAATATTTATCTAAATGTCGTGACGTTAATTAAACACCAGACATTGTTTAACAGCTAGAACCCGAGTCTATCATACTGCCTGTCATGACGTGGAACATTTAATGATTTAGTTTTAAAGAATACAATT